TTCATGTGATGACTTCTTTTATTGAGCGATCGATTGCAATATTCCGTTTATTCTCACAACTCCTTTGCTAGCCATTCAGGCATCCTCAAAATTCATTTAGGCGCTGATATAGTCGACGGGGCTGACTAAAATTGTCTTTAGCGCACTCTCATGAATCAATGGCATCGTTTCATTTCTGTAAGAGGCTCTTCACAAATAAGCCCGCCGTGAATCTCCTCTCGGCTGGAGACCGCAGTGTCATGGTATGCATTCTTCAGACGGCACCGGCGGCACCTAAATCATACCTGGTGGTGGTGGAACACAGGCCACCTCTGTCGCAGCTGACGGCGGGAATGTGACGTCTGCAGTCTCCTCCCTTCCTCCACCGCCCTCCCCACCGGTCACAGCCCGCGGTACAGTGTCCGTCGGCTGTCATCCCAGCCCGGCCCGGCCCGCCAGCAGCACCAGAAAGAGCTCTGTCAGCTGGTCCGCCGCCCGGCTGAGCAGCCCGCCTGGCGCCTGCCTGCATTCCTTCTACTCCGTATCAAACGGGCCACAGATAGGGAACAGGGAACGACCTGTGACGTGACTGCCCACTTGATGACTCAGGTCGCCGTCACCGATAACTCAGACGGGCTTCATATCAGTGAGCTCACAGGTCACTCAGGTTTGATAAACAGGGTAATGCAAACAGTAAACATAGGCCATATAAACGGAAACACTGCAGGAAATGCAGCGCTGATAGGCGCTGTAAACGGGTTCAACAGTGTTTGCTGAGATAACGGATAGTGACGAATTAGAACGTCTGACGATGCAGGCTTGTTTACAGCGTCAGCGATTGCAGACTGTTCAGTCATCGCTACAGTGCAATCAGAACCTATCTTAGGTGAAATGCACACTTCGTGTAGTGGTGCAATGCCAACGCTTTACTTAGTCCACTTTGGCATCCAACATTGTGTTAGGTGCGAGCATTTTAAATGCTGCATGTTTACCATGAAATTATTTCCTACCGAAAGTCGAAATTCTGTAGAAGTTGAGTCCTGCTATTGCTTAGGACGCCCTTGACTCAGTTGACCGAAACATCTGGGCCAAATCTTTCGTCATTGTTAATCAACACATGCACACACTACGTACCACCTCCGGGCGGCTCTGTTTCGGCGCCACGCACCGTGTCCCGGTCCCACGGGTCACCTGGCGGCTCACCGGACCGGCTCCGTCGCGGTGCATACCACGACCTCTCATTAACCGGCCCGACCAGACCGGCATGCGAGCGGAGCACAACAGCAGTGAAAGCGGGCCTGTCGCCGTGCCGACTGCGACCTGTCGCTCCGTCGCGTCCATCACTCTCCGCAGTCTCTGCGTCTCCTCGTCCGTCTCCGTCAGTCGTCTATCCGTCCTCGTCAGTTCTTTGGCCGCGCTCGTCCGTTTCTTGTTCGGCTCGGTGTCTGTCTTCCGTCGGCGTCCTGTTCGTACCATGTCCGACCGATCTCGCTTGTTCGTTTCTCACCCCCTGGCACCATTTCGCGTCCATCTTCGTCGCTCGTGTCTGGCTCTCCGCGTTCGTCGCAGTCGGTCGCTCGCCGCGGCTCTCCCGCCAGCGACCCGAATCTCGAGGAGACGGACCTAGTCTCGCCAGGGTAAACATCCTGGCGCGTCTCTGATGGCAAATTAACCGAGTATTACCCACCTGATTGGACCCAGATGGAGAGATTTCAGCCTCAGAGGCGGCGCTCCGAGGCGCGCGGCGGTGGTGCGGAGAGGTGCACTGCTCGACCTCGCGGAGAGTGCACCCGGGAGCGGGCAGGCCGATCGCTCCCGGCACACGGCGGCAGATTGGATCTGCCATTCACCGGGCATTGCCGCCAGTGCCCGATCAGATCGGACTCGCGTTCGGGTCGATCCAGAACCAGAACATGGCCCACACGGAAAAAGATAACGAAGTGATCGAGTTTGTGGAAGTAAACAGCAGTTTTATTTGATGATGCTGGAGCTAAGGACGTTTTCATGAGTTTTGATTACGGACATAATTTAACATTTTCTGTATAGTTATTTGTCTTTCATATCTCTGTTAATTGATGGTATCAAACCGTATAGATAAAGCCACTTTGCTAGGTCTATCTGCTATCAACCGCCGACCAGTAGGTAACGTTAACGCACTCCGTGACGCATTCATCTAACCACGTTCACTTCATGTGAACTGGTTCTCACTTCCTTTTCCGGGCGCGAGTCACTTCTTTATTGCGAGCTCCCGCCGTCAATTGTCAAACGTCACATCAAATATCCATCTTCATCTGAGTGGCATCGATTGGTGCCATTAAATATCCATCTCCTCCCTAATTGGAAGCGTGGGGCTCAATAACTGGCCGCAACTCCACTGCCGGTATCGGCGGCCGACTACGCGCAGCCCACAGCTCACGAAGCGGCAGCTGTAGGCAGACACCAGGCACACAGCAGACAGCGGGAGCAGACAGCTGCGGGAGAGGCAGAGGTGCGCAGCCGGCGCCACAGCCGCTCCCGGGACCGCCTCAACAGACACGCTGCATTAGCCTTGAGCACGGCGCCGCCGATCGTCCGGCGCCCGCATTGAAGCAGGAGCACCGAGCCGAAACAGGCCGGCCGGGACTACCTCAGGGCGGAGCCGCTTGGATGCCCACCGAAGCAATCAGCCGACTGTGTTCAGACCGTGTGTTGTTACAGCGTGAAATGCAATGAAAATTGCTTGTGATGAGGTCGGGTGGGATGTCCGAGGCTTGTACACAATCCGGTCTCGGGGAGCATCATTTTCAAAGCCGCTGTAGCAGTTTCCTCCGTGGCGTTCCAGGCGACCTGACCCCGATTCCGGGGTCGGAGGTAGACCGGTCGGAGGCTCACAGACCTCCTGTGACGGTAGACCATCGGCATTGTTGTGTCCCGATCGAGCCATGTCGGAGCGGCGCGGCGCCGTAGAAAGCGGCGACGTTGGCGGCGCAGCGGCGGCGACCCAGTGACGCGGTGACCCGGTCACAGTGACCCGCCGCGGGCCGCGCCCGCGACACTGCAGGACGTCGCCGGCCTTTGTCCCCGACTGAGACGCTGGCGGACGGCGACGGTGACGGACGGGCGCGGTCCACGGCGGTATGAAATGGCACGCCCGGTCGGCAATTAACGTGGCAGCCCAGATAGCGAGTGGCAGGTACAGCACGAGCCAGATAGCGGACCATCAGAAGATAGCTAATGGAGCGTGTGAGACGCCCGCGATGTTGATGGTCAGATAGGACAAAGTGGCGTCTGTGACAGTTTTTAAGACGTTTTTGTTGGATGTTTTTTAACATCAGACGTTCAAAGAATCACCTCTCGAGTTGATTACTCTCCTGTAATTAATTGAATGGTCCTTATCACTTCTGCTGATGCATGGATCCACGCCAAACTAATTGACTGATGAGCACATCGTCCAGCGCACCCTCTGAAGGACATTTTGACTGATTGCCGCGCCGGCTCCCTGGGCGGCCGCCGGGCGCGCGGTGCCAACTGGGAGAGGCCCGCGCCAAGTGGCGGCGAGGCCGGCGGAGCTGACACGCGTCCGTCTCGCGGTCGCGGATCGGACACCTGCCCTCCCCGGGTCGGCGCAGCTCCGGTTCGTCGCCATCGGCGCCGTCTGGCGCGTGCCCAGCGCGGTTGAGGAGCTCGGTGCCGTCTCGGTAGCACAGTGGCTGGGCGGGCCAGCGCCGTGACGCGGCGGCTCAGTACGTGCCTGAACTGCACCACCGAGCCGCCATGTGAGCCGCCGTGTCTCGGTGTGTGTATCTTGGACGGGCGGCGCCGCGTCACGAAAGCCACACTCGGCGCCGGGATCAGCGGGGCTCTGTTCCTCCTGTTCTCGGGTGCTGCTCCCATGACGCTCCCCGCAGCGGCCGGGCCGTGCCGGCGGAGCGGCCACCACCGACTCCGCTCAGGTCAGGGTCGGGTGGCTCGCCGACAGCCGGGCTCCCTCAGCGGCGCGGTGGGTCGCCGTTGATCTTGGAACGGGAGGCGCGCGGCGCTCTCTCACAACAGCCGCCGGCGTCGATCGGCGCTCCGATTTACATTGCGGTGTTTGCTCGCGAGGAATAGCTGGGCCACCGGACCGCGCCGCGGGATCCGCCGAGTTGATTTGGGGTGTAATAAAACGGACGCCACCGGCCGGAGGAGCTTTGGAGTCGCCGATGCATTCCATTCAAATTAGGAAGAGTTCCCTGAGCTATACGATCGACGCGTCGATTGCCATTTCAAAACCGTCATCGCGACCACAGACTATTGCCCTTAAGGGTTTCAAAGAAAGGGTGAATTCATATTGCTTTTATGGATTTTTAACTACCCATAGTTGCAACGTTTGGGGCGGGCAATAAAACTCTGCAGCTGGACTGTTGCAGTCGTGTTAGGTTTATAGCTGCTGGAAGCCGGAAGGGAAGTTAACGATCAGTCAAGCGAATGAAGCGAATTCGCGTTATGTCTGCCAGGTCTGCTTAGTCAGAGGACAGTTTTCCAGACGCACTTTTAATGACCTGAGACGGTCGTTAATGCCGTTTTTATGTGCGCTCGTGTCGCGTTATATGGGTCCTGCTCGCCCGAAACTCCATCAAGTTATTTACGTTGGGTGCCGCGTTTCCGAGTGACTGGCCGGAGACACTGAGTCGATCGGAGCCTGAGTCAGAGTCGGCAGTGTGTGTCTGTATACAGGACGAGCCCCTGGGGTTATGCGGCGTTGACGAGCCGCGGAGGGGAGGGACAGTCCCCTGCCCTACCGGGAGCCGCTGCCTAATGTATGCCGCATGCATTGTCGGTCGTAAATGTACGTCTGTGTGCTGTGTACCGGCCAGGCATGCATTATTGATGGCGCCGTGGTATCCGTCCGCGCAGTCGACATCCGTACATGTGCTCCCCGTCTCAGGTTTTACGGAGAAGGCCCGGGTACTCGGAATACCACGAACGCCTCTCAGATGTGTTTTATATCAGCGGCGATAAACTGGGGGATCGGTGTCTTCACCTTCGTTTTCTTGTTTCAGACGACCGGCAACATCTACCATTTCTGCTCGGAGGGTCTGAAGATTTCTGCGGTGCACCCGCTGACGGCCGAGCCGGTGCTGTCCTGGGACCAGCGGGTCACCAGCGTGGCCGTCACCTCCACGGGTCGACACACGGTGGCGCTGCTGGGCACGCAGCAGGGCACACTGAAAAAGGTAAGCACTGAGTGGAAAACTTGCTCTGACGCTGCATTTTGCCCTCCTTGCTTAGCATCTGGATATTGGGAAAAGCCGTCGCCTTTTCACGAAGCATCAGGAACATACGCTGAGCCGAGATTTATTTCACCAGAGTTCACCCGGTAAAATCCACAAAGCGACGTTGCATGGTTTTATGTTGAGGCCACACAGTGCTAGGGCGCAACCCGGAAATGGGTTCCCGAAACCTTTTTAAACTTTTGGTTGGCGTTCAGTAGACTGGGCGATGACCGTGCTGATTCAGCTCAAGTGTTGTCAGATATACGCGTGAAGCCATGTCAAACACGTTCTTCAAATAGGTCATGTTCTGGTTCAGAGGTCAGCAACCATATATCATCTTCGTCATCAGCGGAAGATACTTTTTATCTTTTATCAGAAAAGTGTGCCATTTCGGCTCCGATGATCAATTAATATAGCGTTTTATCATGATCGGGAATATCGGAGCCATGGCCGACTAGTTTCGGTGCCGGCGGCCGCTCGCCGCTGTATCAGATCCAGTGGAGAGTGAACGCTCCATCACAGCTCCGGCCGCCGGGAGAGCGCCCAAGCCGCCCGCTCGTGGAGCTCGTGACGCGCGCTCCACGCAGCCCCCATCAGCCCGGCGCGCCGCGACACTCAGCCGAGTGTTTTGCACAATCCAAGCACCGCCATCGGTGTCCGTCAGCGACTTTCGTCGGCTCATTACCGGCCTTTCAGCGCCGTTAAATTGCAGCCATACGCCGGAGCGATGGGACCGTTTGTGCAATCAGGATGATGTGGAGCGCTCTTTAGGCCGACGATATCTGCGATACATTTGCATAGTTCCACTTTGCATCTGCAAGGTCGCGCTACAGACCAGATGGAATGGAAATGGACCATGCCTTTGTCGTATATTCCCGGTCACGGGAACACAGAATCTGTCCGCAGTCTGCATTTTCCCACTAATCATCACCACTCTGTTCGTGTCTGGCCCAGTGGCCCAGTGTTCCATCACCCTCCCCCTACTCCTTCTCTGCCCTCCGTGCCGCCTCTCTCCCTCGCCTCAGTACTGTCTGGGTGGCGTGTGCCCGCGGCTCCTGCTCGGGGTGGTCGCGTGCCTCGGCGGCCAGCGTGTCTCCCCACCCGGCCACCCAGTGCGTGCCGCCCTCCCCGGTCCGCGTCCGGCGCCCACTCCGGCGACCCTGTCCCCGCTTCCTGCGCAGCGTCGCAGCTAATTAGGCCCGTGTAGATGCCGAGCGTCGCCAGCGACGATGCGTCGGCCGCGCCGATATCGGCACCGTTTGGCAGCGCTGCCGCCGGAGAATTAGCCGGGCGGCTCCGGGCGGCGGCGGCTCTCCACCCGCCCCCGCCCCCGCCCCCATCACGGCCTGGAGCCGGCCTTCCGCCGAGCCGAGCTTGCTGTCTCAGTTGCCGCTGCTAAGGATGAAGCTGCTTTTGAGCGCTAGCTGACAAGTTGAGTATCAGAGTTCAGGCCAAAACGGAGACAGTAGCCCGGGCAACCCAAGGAATGACCCCACACGGGGGCGGCACCGATCGCTGCGTCATGGCGTCATCAACGGCGTCACTGCGGCGTCATCCGGCCGGCTGACGGGCGCCATCGGCGGCGTCACGCTCCGCGGGGGGCCGCGGCCGCCGTGTCTGGTGTGGGTCGGCGGTCGTCACGCCGAGTCTGGTGTCCACGGTCCGGCTCTCCCGCCATCCGCCCCTCCGCCGCCCGCCAGTCGTAAACGGCAGGACACTGTCGTCGGGAAAGGGTCCGCACCGACAGGCGCCTTTACGACGGGCCCCCGGCGCAGCCCTGCGGGGGACGTCGCTCTCCGAGGTGAAAATAAATTGCCAGTGCCGTTCATGACATTTGAAACTTTCCCATTGAAGTCTGGGAAGGAACAATACGGGCGGACAAACGGCAGATTTCACAGCGTTTCATCACGGGTCATGAGTTGCGACTCGCCGTCATTAGCCAAGTTCAGAACTTGACGGAATTCATCGTGGGTGCAGTTCTGTTTGGTAAATATTTAACTTCTCAGAAATTTCGATGAAGTTCTAAATTCGGGTAGTTGCCGAGCTGAGCTATAGGACTCGTCCGGTCGCTGCTATAAGTAACCAGCTGTGTGCAGCTCCTGACCCCTGGGGCAGGACCAGAAGGGGCCCGCAGCGCCTAATGAAACTCTCAGTGACCCGTCGCTAAGGACCCAGACGGCGGGCCGCTCCCGCGGGTTCACGGCGCCGGCAGCCCCTCCCGTGCCGCCTCTTATCGCCGGTGCCGGCCGTCGAACGCGCCTCGAACGCGGCGGGAATGTTAATTTACGGCACGGCGCGACGATGTCCGGCGCAGCGGACCACACAGCGCGCCGCAGCCGGCTGCCAACCGGCCGACGGGCGGGCTGTCGGCCGGCCGAGCGTCGGCTTATTTCCGTCTCACACCGGCGGCGCGGCTCGGCGGCATCGGCACACCGCGCCCGATCGTCAACAGAACCCGATCGGACGCATTGTGACCTCAATCGGCACAGCTCGCCCTATACGACCCTGATTAGCCCACAATCCCGACCGATTCATCGAGACACCCCGAGTGCCGAGTGTGGACGCTGCTTGTGGCACGTTGGGACGCCATGCCCTGATATATGTCAAAGCTGACAACGCGCCGCAGTGCGTCGATACGAAATGTCAGGGGCGGTGCGGTGACAGTCGACTTCTGACAGATTATGGCAAACAGTTATGTGGCCTTCGTTCGATGCGGGTGTAGCTATGTAAAACGTCGAAACGATCCTCTCGATATTTCACACATATCTGGGTTTAGCTAAATACAAAGCTGGTGTAGTGCTCAACCTGAATTTAAACGTCACTCTCACTGGCTGCGAGCATAAAATACCTAGCCTGAAAAAATAGACGCTTGGGCGCTTGTCTCACGAAGTTTCAGTCTCCATTTCAGTTTTGTGCTGTTGAATCGAGAAATATTCGACCAAGAGCCGTCAGATTGATCTCGATGATGCTTCAGGCTGCAATATTCTGCGAGGGTCTGATGAACGAGGTCATAATTTGCCGCGCGTCATGCCGGTATGATAAATCACACGCGGCTAAAATACGGAGATGTTATTATAGTGATACTGTTTGACGTGCTGTTGCCCCAGCCAGTCGGGGGCGGCGGGCTACATAAATAGCCGGCCGGCCGATAATTGATAGCGCTACTCGTTTTGAGAGGAGGCCACGAGCTGCTGAGTGGGCACAGGCCGTGTCATCCCGGTGAAAAACGTCCGGCCGTCCGCCCCTGGCGCACGCGGCCCGACTGACAGACATCTGGCCCTTTTCACGGCGCGACGGCTGGCAACTCATCTGGCATGCGGGCCTGATGGGACATTTCTCAGCCGGAAATCAATTAACCTGCCAAGAGGCGGCGTCGTGCAGCTCTCAGCCGCGCCGCCTGGAACAAATTGGATCGGACTCAGATGCGTGCTCATCGGCCTGCTCTCATTTGAGGTCGGCGAATCTGACCCAGTCTGGCCGCATGATTATTTCTCTCTTTTCATCGCCGTCATCACAACTCCGCACGGTCCCATCGACTAATCCAAACATGCCAGCAACCCGAGCCAGGGCCTCCGGGAAGCGAAAACAGCGGTGTGTCTTCTCTGTGCGGGCACAGGAGCCTCCCTCCGCCTCTTCGCTCACCATTAGGCCGTGTTGGTTACGTTATCTCGGCTCGTCGGGCCGTCTGCCGCCGACGAGCGCCGGGGGTCGCACCGTCGACCCGTTTGTTTTCGCCGGCCCCCGACAGCGCGCGCTACCTGACACCGGCGCGCGCCGCGCGCTGATGGCGATGCGGCCAGATCAATCACGGCGCGGCGGCGGCGACAAGCGGCGCGGCGCGGTCAGCATGCAGATGCGGCGGTGTTGATGCGCGCACCTCCGTGGCAGGAGCTGTGTGCTCGCGCCCGCCGCCCCCGACCGCCCACCCTTCGTCCTGTCCAGTGGCGGATCCTGGGGGGGGTCCACGGGGTCATGACCCCCCCCAAAAGGTCTGAGAGGGTCATTTGACCCCCCCCAAAAGCCGAAGACCTAAATGCGCTATAGACGCCGTCTTGCATGCTCAAAATCACATGTCAAACACTTCTGAGCTAATACCTTTGTTTTTCTGGATCGTGTTGCGTGAAAAGGCGTATTGAAGGCCAGAATCTTACTCATTTTTGTCTCAACCGTGCGAGCACCAGGGGATGATCCAGGAAAACTCCAAGGGGATGGTCATGAATTTAATTCGTGGTGCCCCTACCTATACGCAAAATTAAAAACTCAACGGATTTCGGCCACTTAATTTTGGTGATGTCCTATTTCCATTTTTTTATTTTGTTTGTTTTATTTTTAGTGCCCCTGGGCCCTGGCAGGTCAAAATCACGTCGGAGGCGAAAGAAATTCACGGGAATCCCAAAAATCACGTCAGGACATTCAGGGCACTCTGACCAGCCTGACAGCTAGGGCCCTTCTTACTTCCTGGGGCCTCCAGTGAATAACCGCTAGTGTCTGTGTCGGCCCCTCTGACTCCTCAGTAGGTAGGAGGCCCTCTGTAGAGGAGACCCTCTGTGGAAAGGAGACCGCCTGAATGCAGAAGGCCCTCTGAAGAGAGGAGACCCGCTGTAGAGAGAAGGCCCTCTGAAGAAAGGAGGCTCTCTGTAGAGAAGAGGCCCTCTGAAGAGAGGAAGCCCTTTGCAGAGATGAGGTCCTCTGGCTCTTTGAAGAGAGGAGGTCCTCTGTAAAGGAGGCCCTCTGAAAGGGAGAGACCCTCAGTAGAGAGGAAGCCCTCTGTAGAGAGGAAGCCTTCTGTAGTTAAGAGGCCCTGTGAAAAGAGGAGGCCCGCAGTAGAGATCGGTGGTCCTCTGTAGAGAGGAGACCCCCTCTGTGTTTTGACAAATGTTTTTGCAAATTTTTCGCGGCGCTTCGCGCCGCCGATTCATGTACATACGTACAGGTCAATATGAAATCGTGACTGTAATTAC